CTGATATTTGGATATGTGCTACAGTGGTCTCAATTATAGATGAGTGGTGGTACAACTCATGCAGAAGATGCACAAGCAAAATGGAGGAGGTTCATGGGCAATTTAATTGCAGCAAATGTTCTCATAAATTTGGCATTTTTCGGTGATAAAAATTACTAATATGATGCGAAGTATATTAACATATAAATTAAATAATTATAGATATTTTTGCCTAACTTATATTTTTAATCTATAGCTACAAGATTCACTTTGGTGTCCAAGATACTTCGGCACCTGCCACTTTAATTGCATGGAACAATGAATGCGAACCCATAATTGGTAAGCCATGCGATGCGTTGAGGCGTGAAATCATGCAAAATGTATGTTTTTTAATTTTAATTATTGTATTTTAGACAGATTATGAGCAGCAGCAACTACATGGTAATATTTGTCTATTGGCAGAATTCTAACAGCATTGAACTGCCAGAGGAAATAGACAATATTATTCACAAGTCATATCTTTTCAAGGTGCGAATTAGGGCAAACAGGCGTAAATTCAATGATGGAGAACCAGCCTTTTCTGTTTTAAGGATGATTGCTGATGAAAATCTGGTATCCAAATACAGTCAGTGGGTTACTGACAAAGAAGTAAGTTCAACAAACCTAAAACATTATCTTGCTGCTTATTACTATTATTTAACATTAAGTTACTTTTTATTTAATTTTATAGGAATCGGACTTCTTGACTATACTTCAACGTGAAGAGGCTAAGGGGCAAGGTCAATCATAGTTGCTGAAATTTATTATTTTTCTTCACTACTTATTTGTTTTACAATTAAATAATATATTTAATTTAAACATTTATACTTGGGCTTTATAAATTGATTGACAGGGCTGCAATGAAGAAGATGAAGTGTCAACCCCTGTGAAGAATCAGAAAGGTAAAGGGAAGGTCGGTGACACTTCTAATGTAAAGAGAAATTTAATGGAGATAATTGAAGATGAGGCAGCCCAGTCAGCCACTGCCATTAAGGGCAAGGCAAAAGTAACTGAGCAAGATGACGAGATGAAAGATAACTTTGATGAAGAATAGTTCAATGATTGAAGTATTTTATTATTATATTAGGATTTCGTTTGTTTTGGTATTTTGATTGAATAAGTTGGCATCGCCAATATGAATAATTTAGGATTTGCTATTTGAAATGGATTTTGAGTTTATTATTGTTTATTTTAGGATTTATTATGAAGTTTGGATTTTAAATTTGTTTGAATTCAGTTTCAATATTATTGGTTATTAATATATATATATATATGATTGGTACGTTTTTTGTTGTTCAGAATTTATTTTTGTATTTGTTTGTTAACATTAATGCTGATTACCTTACAGTAGTAAATAGAATACATGAAACAATTAAAGTAAAAAATATATTTTTTAAACATTCACCACTTTAGATTAGCAAATCTAAATAAAATAGAATCTTACCAAGTAAATTCAGAAATATATAACAAATACTTACCTTCATGATTCATAAATAATATATAGAATCTAATGGAAGATATAAAACAACATTTCAGATATCAAAACAGTCTTACTTTTATTATTCAGATATAATATATAGAATCTAATGGAAGTTATAAAACAACCATTCCAAAAACAAAACAAATTATCAAACAAGGCTATTCTATTGAAATGTTTAGTATTAACCATATGAAAGGAACCTCAATTGATCCTTTGAACCTCAACAAACCGTTTGGTGGGAAGGCTGTTGTTTTTGGTGGAGATTTCCGACAAATCCTTCATGTCATTCCAAAGGGTAGCCGTCAGGACATAGTCAATGCTGCCATTAATTCTTCCGACATATGGAGGAGTTGTACTGTGCTTAGGCTTACGAAAAACATGCGTCTTCAAGGGCTTGCTAATTCGGATGAACGTGATGAGCTTGCACGGTTTGCAGATTGGATAGCCAGCATCGGAGATGGAACTATCGGGGGTTCGAATGACGGGTGTGCACTTATAGACATACCCGAAGACATTTTGCTTCAGCCATCTGATGATCCTATTGCTCAAATCGTTGAAAGCACATACCCAATGTACAAGGAGGCGCCCGACGATCCAAGTTATTTGAAGGATAGAGCTATATTAGCGCCAACGTTGGATGTGGTCGAGTCTATCAATGAGTACATGACATCATTGAATTTGTTGGATGATCGTATTGAGCTCTGATAGTACGTGCAAGTCTGATTCCAATAATGATTTTTTTTCTGATCTCCATACGCCTGAGTTTTTGAACAGTATCAAGTGTTCCGGAATACCGAACATGAATTGTATTTGAAGATTGGAACTCCAGTTATGTTGTTGCGTAACATGGACCATTCTATGGGTTTGTGTAATGGGACACGATTGGTTGTGACAAAACTATCCACTCAT